GGGGACTTCAACTCTATTGGTGATACGAACTTAGATAAAAAAAAAAATTACAAGAAGGGAAAAGTATAAATAAGAAATTGTTGACAGATGTCACTCCATTGACCCCAGCCATCCCAGTGCATGCTGGAGATGCGAAAAGGGAGTAAGCACCATCATCCACCTATGGCGGGACTGCGGAATGATTAGGCCTTACTGGGAAGTGATACACAAAATGCTGGAGGAGTTCTCTGATGAACCCCCCCTCCTAGACCCGGCAGAAATGCTTCTCCATCACACAACAGTCCCTAGATCCAAGTACAAAAAATCCATGTCCATCCGTATACTAAACATAGCCAAGCATGTTCTCCCCCAGTACTGGAAATAACCGATCACCACCCCCTGAAGACATGGTTCCAGCAGATGGAGGCCTTGAGGGCAGTGGAGGAGCTAACGATGAACACCACACACCCCCCCACAACATATAACAAGATCTGGACACACTGGATCCTGACCACTGCTAAGGCAGACTTTGCCGACAAACTACGGTACAACCAAGACGACTGTGACTGACACCCCCCTCCCCCTACCCACCGCCCCCACCGTCCCGCACCTCCTCACCCTACATACCTATCCTCCTTTACTAATACTCGTCCCTGGACGATACTTAGGCGAGATAACCAGGAAAATGCACACAGTAACGCGACAAATGCCACCTTCGATCACTAGCAACCAAAAGATACTGTGTCGCTCACCACGAACTTAGGGACCTGCGAGCCCCTCCCGATATCATTGTGACCATAGATCTGCATATCTACTACTGTTATCTCATCACTGCTACCTCACTACCTGAGATGTCACCGAGACTTGTGAGCATCCATATAGTGCATTACAAAAGATGACTAGATAACACACATACATGCAATATAAATCTATGGGGGACCTGCGCGTCCATCAATAATGCGGGCCTGCGAGACCAATTGTTTGCTCATATTCACCAGAACTGTTTAACGCACGTGTTGTGCACAAGTTACTATAATCAGTGTCTATACAGAGACCTGCGAGTCTCAGCGTTACTTATGATATGTCAAACAAAATAAAAACCATATTTAAAAAAAAAAAAAAGAAATTGTTGACAGAAGCAAATAGGTTTAAAAACTTTTTTAATAATTACAAACGTCTTGATTTCTGAAAACTTTAAATCCAGGAAAAAAAGACTATACATTTTACTTCATCCCTTTTAACTCATACTCACGTATAGACCTATTTTTGTCAAAAACTTAATGTGAAATTTCATGCCCTACCTAGTCAGATCACGCGCCAATCTTTTTTGAAGTCAAAATGAACGAATGTAAAGTTAGACAGAAATGGAGACTAAATGAATCCCTTCTTAAACAAAAGCATAATATAGAAAGTCTACAAAAAGAAATGAAAAATTATTTCCAAGAAAATTAACCGCTCCAACTTTCTAAGGGAACTACTTGGTGTGCTTTTAAGGCAGTAATTTGAGGGCATATAATCAAATTAGGCTTATATGAAAAAAAAAGACTTACCCAACAATTATCTATTAAATTATCTCAACTAGAAAAAAAAATTATGAAAGTCCATCTACCACAATTTTGGTAAAATTAGTAAGATAAAAGTAAGTAAGGATATCAAAAGAATGAACTTGAATCTACTTTGCTTAAAACAAAAATGGTATAGCCAAGGAAACAAAGTCAATAAAGTGTCAAGTAAGTTAAAATGTAAAAATAAAAAATACACAATAAACATAATAATAGACAATGGAGAAACTACTCAATCCGATTAAAATAGGTGTCGCTTTTTCAAATTTTTATAAAAAATTATACCACTTAGGAAAAGATTGCGATTTAAATTCAACAGAATTTAGAGATAAAGTCAAAAATATCTGTAGAAATGTACTCATCCTAAAATATATTAAAATGATTATACAATTTTAAATACTCCAGTATCCTTATAGGAAATTATCTATGTGATTCAAAATTTAAAGATAAACGAAGGATCTAGTCAGTAACTTATTGGAATTTAATGGAACTCTTTAGGGAGATTGGAGTAGAAGATAAAATGTCAGAAAAAGGGGGCGGGGCCTGACCACTAACAGGAATGGCCACATGGCACTGAAGCTCCTCAAGGGGGCATAACTCGCTTGTTTTGTTGGCTCAATCCCACGCACATAACCATAGCGAACTCCGCTGAATATCCAGCACCTCCAAGCTGGCACCCAGAAGACACAGCCCGTGTGAGACCAACCTGCGGCCTGCAGTTGCGGTTAAGGACTGGGAGGCGGCCGATCCCCAGACTCGACTAACAGTCTGCAAACCTTGCGCCCTGTTTCTCCACATTTGGACCGGTGGGGAATATCTCGGTCCCCACTGGTGCATCGAGGTGGCCATACCGCAGCAACATCTAACGGACCAGCAACTCGGAGCTCGGGCCCACTACTTAAATGGCCGCCGCACAGAGGCCTGCAACCAGGGGCATCTTACCTCAGACATCTTCGGGTGTAGATCCGCTTCTCATGGCATTTGATCTCGTTTGCGAGAAATTCTGGGCAAGGATCTGTGAGTGGAGACTCATCCTCACTCCTGTGAATCAAGCTGCTGTCCTGCAGAGCCGTCCCGACCAGCGACCTGGCCCCCACACTCAACTCCGATGTATTCCTAGAGGGGGAATGAGGAGAAGAAGGTGTGAGAAACCGTTCAATTTACAGACACAGTAGAGGCTCTATACAGTTGCCCCACGGCTAAAGTCTTAAACGCAGGATTCTGCTCGGACAAATTCAAAATCTCTAACGGCTCCTGCCAGAGCTGTCCGCTTTCCCCGCTGCTCTACGTCCTGGCATTGGAGCCACTGGCTGCCAAGATCAGGATGGAATCAGCAATTCATGGGGTAACACTACACCAGAAAGAATACAAATTAAGCCTATTCGCTGACGACATATTTCTCACTCTAACGCAACATATCCCTACCCAATCTTATGCACCACATCACGGAATACGGACGAGTGTCATATTATAGGCTGAACGTCACCAAGACACAGGCACTAAGCATCAATCTTCCCGTAACACAACTGGCAAACCTCAAGAGCTCGTTCCCTCTAGACTGGAGGGATGATTACCTTACCTTCTTGGGAACTAAAATGACCAAAAAACCCATGTCCCTATTCAAGATGAACTACCAGCCATTGTTAGAAGTCCTTGCTGGGCTCATGGGAGGGGAAATACTTGTTTTGGGTGGGGTGGATCGCAGCCATAAAAATGTCACTACTACCCAAACTCCAATACTTATATAGAACACTACAAATTCCAGTACCAGACAAGTACATCAAAACGCTCACGAAAATGCTAACACACTTCTCATGGCAAAACAAAAAACCCAGAGTAGCGTCCAACCTATTACAAAGGTCAATAAACCAGGGCGGACTAGGCTTCCCAGACCTAAAAGCATTTTGTAAAGCGGCAGCGTTGATGATGGTGCCACAACTTCGACAACACCCCACAGCCCCACAATGGCTGGAAATAGAAAACAGCTGGGCTCACCCAACAACACTACACTCCATCATATGGACACCCAAAACACATAGGAAGGATACTAGCCACCTTTTACCCACGACTCAATACATCCTACATGTCTGGGACTCCACGAAGCACCTGATGACACGATACCACCCACTGCCTTTGGCAGCCCCAACCACCACCCTAGAACATGTAATACCAAACCTGAACATACAACCATGGCTACAAATGGGCATCCAAGAAATAGGGCAGTTATACAGTGACAAAGGGTTAAAACCATTTCCGGACCTACAACAAGAATCTCAATTACCTCACAGACTAGGCTTCGCCTACCTCCAAATTAAATCTTACTTAGCCAAAAACAAACCTAGCGAACCGGCTGCTGCAGCCACAAGACCGATGACCGAATTCGAACTGATATGCACACATAGAAAACCACTGAAAAAACTAATCTCCATCAGCTACAAAGCACTGATCCAAGCATCAGATCAGGGCAAAGAAACACACATCCAATCCTGGCATAGAGAGTTAGGCAGAACAATCCCACTGACAGACTGGACTAAGGCTTACTCCTCGTACAAAGGTGTATCATCTTGTGCTACTCATATCGAGATGCAGCGCAAGCTGTTATACCGATGGTACTTGGTACCATCCAGAATCCACCAGATGTGGCCACAGTCCTCCGACACATGCTGGAGATGCGGCCAAAGTAAAGGCACCATGTCTCACGTCAGGTGGACGTGCCCAACCATCAAACCCTACTGGCAGGAGGTACAAACAATCATAAATGCCACTATACAAACACAAATCTCACTAACACCGGAACTGTGCATACTATTCATACCACCAGACTCACTTACCAAAGATAAGTGGGCAGCAACATACCACATCCTCATTTCCGCAGTTACATGTATCGCTAGGCTATGGAAACAAACGACAATCCCATCACGAGAGGCTCTCATAAACCAAATAAAACTGAACTGGGCCTACGAGATGGTATACGCACGGCAATTTGGTGAAAAGAAACACATGAATCTAGCACACAACAGGTGGAATGATTTCCTACAATCAGAAGGATCACAAAAAGAACCGACATAAACAACACAACTAGTCTCTCACCCCCCCCCAGCTTCCCCCCCACTCCACAACCACCCTCCATCCTACCTACTCTTCTTTCCCGAAAAGTACGATGCTTGACAATGATGCACACAGAGCCTCTGGCCACTTGTGGCCAAAGGTAACCTTGCACAGATATGCACGATACACCCCTGCACGACCGCCTACAGTCCTGAACCCCTTAGAGGGGAAGGGGAGAATAAAAACTAAATATACAATGTCTGTAATATCTAGCAACGAAGTGTTGGATTGTGCTGTCTGCATATGATGTACATTGAATGTCATGACTGTATCTCGTTGCATGGTACAATAAAAATTGTCAAATTCAAAAAAAGAAACCGTTGTGGTGGATGACGACTCCTCGATGCCAAGGCTCACATGGCTGCTATACCTCACCCCAACAGCAGAGAGAAAGATCTACTCCTTGCCAGCCTAGCCTTCCTGCACCTAAAGCCTGCAAACTAAAATGCCGGGACTCTCCCGGATCTCAAAACACATGGAGACTCATCCCCAGACATGGCCCGCAACCCCGGGTACCCACTACACAACGACGACACCACCAACATGCAGCAGGGTCCCGATACTCCGTACAGATTGCAGGAGCCAAATGGACAAGTGAGGCAAAAGTGCAGGACTGTGATAGAGACTGGGCCTGGTGGGGTTGCTTCGAGGAAACCCAGTTTCTTACTAAACCTCTGGACAGGCTACGCAGACCAGTAGGCATAGGTTGATCAACCCCCTCAGTGTAGGCCTTACTCTTATTAGACCTCCAGGCCCACACAAGATAGAGTAACTGCCCAGCACCCCTTTTCAACTATTTGTGCTTCAGAGCAACAATTCATTACTATTCCCCAAACTATTAATCTGTATGGCAGTTATGACGGGTCAGCATAGACTGTAAATTTCTGTGTGTTTACTCACTATAAAAATTAAGCAATGCTATATGTTGAGGAATCCCCACAGTATATATGCTCATCCTTGCGACCTTGCAGTTACACTCACCTACGGTTATGCCGTGTACTTAAGCCTGTACTTAAGCTTGTTAATGTTTGAATGTATTCATCTTCTAATGCTCTGATGCATGTACCTAGCTTGAGGTTTATAAAACACGTCTCTTGTCTGACACACTCTACCAATAGAAAAGTTATAACTTTGATTAAATATTCAGATAAGCATACCTAGCCTGTCTCTGATACATTCTGTTTATTAACCTTGTTTTACAAAAAATGTGCAAAGTTCCTGATGTCACACTAATGTACTCATATGTTTAACACTGTTTGTACCAGCTATTGTGGCGGCGCAAATCTGCCTGTGTACCACATGCACAAATAAAATAAAGAATTTAAAAAAAAAAATGTCAGAAGAAATGTTATTGGTGAACATATCGCCCATCCTGAAGCCTGGTAAAGATAGAATGCTAATAAAAATGTTTAGACCACATATTCTGATACACTGCTCGTGTTTATTCTGTTATGTAATTTTCTTCCTAATCCAGTGGTCTAGACTTTCTCACAAAACTGTTCACCGTTCTATGCTCACTCAACCTAGACACCCCAGACTAGCATGTCATAATTATCTTATGTCGCTTTGTCTCTCTGCTGACTACTTTTCCTTTTCTACTTATACAATTGAAAATGCGCAGTTTAGCTACTATACCCTTTTCATAAAATACTGTGCTGTTTACTCGAACGGAAACGTAGTGTTATATCTAATTGCACCTGATGTCATGTTCACCGTTTCGGTGTATATTTAAAGTAAGCCTGCAACTGCTGTTGTGGCATTGCGGGTTGCACTGTATACTCATGAACGATCAAAAATAAAGATTTTTTTAAAAAAAATTTCGACCAATCTCCATTCTAATAAATAAAGATTAATCAGGATTTGTTCAAAAAAGGAAAGCTGAAGATAACATCAGGAAAACCTAGATATAATGTTTTTAGCCTATAATAAAAAAAGACCCTGCTGGCCCTGTCATTGGATGCTGAAAAGGTTTTTGACATGGTCATCTAGGTATTTCTAGAATAAGTCCTGAAGAAATTAAGTTTAGGGGATACATTTTTTAAAGCAATATGGTTTTATGTAAAGATCCACATGCCAGTATTTTAGGTTCAGGAACAAGATCCCCCTGGATCAAAATACATAATTGATCCAGATAGGGGTGCCCTTTATCACCAATGTTATATACGCTTTTTCATTGGAACTATTTGCTCAAAAAATCAGGGAAAACACAAAGATTCAGGATGGGTGATGGGAATTTTAAAATATCAATGCTTACGGACAACATTTTGTTAACCTTGGAGAATCCAAGAGAATTGATTAAGGAGATTCAAAGTTTCTCTGAAGTATCATTTTACAAATGGAATACTGACAAATGTCAAGCGTTAATTGAGAATATAAAGGTAGAGAACAAAAAAATTCTTCAAAAGATATATAAATTTCAATGGAGACTACATTGGACTATCTAGGTATAAAATTGCCTTAAAAAAATAATAATTATTGAATCTAATTATAAATCTCTATTAAACAAATTAAGTGAATGAAAAAAAATATATAATCTCATGAATAGGCAGAATAGATATAATAAAATATTACATATTACCTAAACTCACATTTCTATTCAGATCTATTCCTTAAATTGTTCCAAAAAATATACTGATCAACAATACTTGTATCGGCACTCTCCTATCCTAGGGAGTACTGGTATCAAGGTTGCCCTCCAAAAATCAACCTTATCTCCTTTCTATAATAATATACGATACCGCACTCAAAATCTAGATGCAAAACAAACTAAATGTTTATTGCATGATTATAACAGGTTATATAGAAGTAACCCTAACACCTAATATAAAAACTATCACATTGTAACGGATCACCTGGCACCCTGACTGGGTACCTCCATTAATGGATGCTCCAAGTGCAGGACTCTAGATTGAGGGTCAAGAAGATTTGAAGGTTTAATGGCAAGCACTCTCTTTTTATGCAGTTCTCCCATGCAAGGGAGACACCCACAGACAATTATGCATTCGTCAATCAAACAATGGTTACAACCCACATACAGGGCCGGTGCAAGGATTTTTGCCGCCCTAGGCAAAAGAAGGATTTGCCGTCCCGTCCCCCCCCGGAACGTCGCAATGCCCCACCCATATGAACTAATGCCAGTGCTGCACACAGTGTGTGTTTACATTAAAAAGCATGCAGGGACAAACTATAGACACTAGAACAACTTTATTAAGCTGCAGTGGTTCTGGGGACTATAGTGTCCATTTAATGTGAGGTAAATTAGAGATTAGTGTCACTAATAATATACTAGATTGCCTACTTACAATCAGATGAGGATGGTGATGGGCTCTGGCTGCAGTCTGGCTCCACTGGTCTGGTGTAGAACAGGATCTCTGGAGGCTGTTTGTAACTGTGGTCACAAAATTCAATGTTCTGGGAGAACGGGAAGCAGCTCCATTTTTTGAGGCCTCTTACATAGCTCAAGGTCTGGGCCCCAGGGCCTGACGGTGAGTATGCCCATAAAGCCCACCCATAAGTCCACCTACATGTTCCACCCATGAACTCACAGGGAGTAGAGTGTGTAGGGGATGTGTTATGTGTTACTGTAGAGGATCTAATGTGTGTGCTTACAGAATGTAGTGTATAGGGATACCAGTTTGTGTAGGTGATGCAGTGTGTTTGTGTGTAGTGGAAGCAGTGTGTGTGTGTGTGTGTATAAGGGATGTATTGTGTGTTTCTTGTTGTGTAAGGGATGCATTGTGTGAATCTGTGTTTGTATGCATAAGGGATGCAAAGTGTGTTTCTGTGTATGTAAGGGATGCAGTGTGTGTGTCTGTAAGGGGTGCGTTGAGTGTGTGTAAGAGATGCATTGTGTTTCTGTGTGTGTGTAAGAGAAGCAGTGTGTGTTTGCATGTGTGTGTAAGGGATGCATTGTGTGTTTCTGTGTGTATAGGGCATGCATGTGTGTGTGTGTGTGTGTGTGTGTGTGTGTGTGTGCGTGGTGTGAAAGAGCTCCCTGTCCCCCTGTCCTATAGAGCTCTCCCTTCCATTCCTTAGAGATCTCCCCTGCCCCTTAGTGGTCTCTCCTTTCCCCCCCCACCTCCCTTAGTGGTCTCCTTTTCTCCCCGACTTTCCATTAGTGGTCTCTCCTCTCCCCCCACCCTCCCCTAGTGGTCTATCCTCCACCCCCCTCCCTTAGCGGTCTCTCCTCACACCCCTCCCCTAGTGGTCTCTCCACCGCCCCCTCCCTCCTTTAGTGGTCTCTCCCTCCCCTACATTCTCATCTCCCACCCCTTGTGTTCTCCTCTTCTTCTCCCCCCTGTGTTTTCCTCTTATTCCCCCGCCTCCCTGTGTTCTCCTCTTCTTCTCCCCCTGTAATCTTCTCTTCTTCTCCCCCCTCCCTGTAATCTTCTCCCCCCCTTCCCTCCCTGTAATCGCTTCTTCTCCCCCGTAATCTTCTCTTCTTCTCCCCCCTAATCATCTCCCCCCTCCTTCCCTCCCATCATCCTCCCACCCTCCCTCCTCCATCAATCTTCTCCCCGGCTCCCTCCCATCAATCTTCTCCCCCCCTCCCTCCATCATCTTCCCCCCATCAAATCATCTCCCCATAAATCAAATCATCTCCCCCCCTCCTCCTTTAAATCATCCCCCTCCCTCCCTTTCGTCATCTCCCCCCTCCCTCCCATCAATCTTCTCCCCCCTCCATCAAATCATCTCCCCCCTCCCTGCCATCAAATCATCCCTCCCCAATCATCCTCCCCCATCCATCAATCCATCTCCCCCTCTATTTAAATCATCCCCCAATCATCTCCCCACCCTCTCCATAAATCATCCCCCCATCATCTCCCCCCTCCCTCCCATCAAATCATCCCCCCATCCCATCAAATGATCTATCCCCCATCAGCATCTCCTCACCTCACTTCACCTCCCCTGCCCTGTAGCGTGGCCGAGCTCCTTTCCGGTCCGCGACCCGGCGGGACTGACAGGAAGTGCACACTCAGTGTGCACTTCCGGTCATTCCGGCCGGGTCGCGGACCGGAAAGGAGCTCGGCCATGCTACAGGGCAGGGGAAGTGAGGCACTGCGGCAGCCGCCTGAGCGCTCTCTATAGAGCGCTCAGGCGGCTGCAGAATTTAAAGGGCCGGCGATGGGGGCGCAGGGCGCCCCCTCCTATATGGTGCCCTAGGCGGCTGCCTAGTTCGCCTTATAGGAAGCGCCGGCCCTGCCCACATATTCCCTCCCCTCTGCTTGGGAGATTATTGAGTTACTTACTGTATCTACAAGCTACAAAATCTTACTTTTTTTACATTTTTAGAACTCTACGATTTTACATCCAATATGAATAAAATGTATATTTTTATAATCAGCATAACGTGGGGACAAACATATCTAAAATTCACTTGAATCGGTTAAGTGGTTCAGGAGATAGGTGGAAGTCTTATTTTGACCGACCGCACGCACATTTTCATGCCCAAAACTGTTCCAGAGATTCAGGCTGTGCTGCTGGTCTATTTCCCATAGAAAAATAACTAAGTCCCATTCGAATGCACGAACAGGGTGCCATTCATGCAAATAGCCCAGTATAACTGTGCGTTTGAATCGTTGAACGCACTTCGATTTTAGTCAAAGTGTAGAAGTTCCAGATAAGGGTCAGTGGTGTTCGTGACATTTTGTAGCTGACCGCATTCGACTAAATAAAGATGGCCAGCGGTCAGCAA